GGGTTAGAAGAAATGGCAGGAAGTTGGGGTAGGTTGGCTTCTTCTGGTGGCTTTCAGCAAGGTCCAACAAGACAGAGAAACTCCAGCTAGAAACAGCCAGTCTGAGAGTACAGTGGGAAGAAAGCGCACAGCTTTGCTAGGAACCCCTCTCATGCTGTAGCCTCTGACCTAAGCTGATGGAAAACCCCTAACGGGAGGCCTTGAGTCTGATCTTCCACCATGGTGGCTGACACGGAGGCCTGAATGGACATCAACTGAGCCTTTGAGGGGGCTGCACTGCCGATTTTCCCCCCAAAGCAACCCCCTACCCCTGAACTCACAACTACACAAAATGGACTATGAAAATCCACTGATGTGAAAAAGGAGACGGATCAGGTTTATATGAAAATAATCTAAAAGGACCTTTTTAGTCTGAAACAACAAAGGTTGTAAAGAGTCCAAGCGGAAATGTGTAAGCACAGAAATTTGGACTGGGGGGTAGAGATTTCCTTACCAGATCCTAGTATACAAGAGATGATAAGCTGAAGATACAAAAAAGTTTGTTAAATCATGGATGAGAGGTCCCCAAGGACATGTCCCTGAATTTTCAGAACCTATACACCGCTTGGCGTCACCATTGAGAACATAACACTAGACAAAATGGACCATCGCTGTGACCAAGGATAGGTATCCTTCTCGTAAGACAGCAAAACAAAAATTTGTATGGTGAGGACACGCTTTGATACTCGCATTCAGCCTCTGCCAGAAGCCCTGTGATGGAAATTTGGGTTTTCCTTGGAGGAACAAAGACAAGACCTCCAAGCTAAGACCCAGGTTTCACAGAAGGAAGCCGCTCCACAACCTCAGGAGCGTGGTGTCCCCCTCGCCCTGACAATGGGACAGTCAGCACTTCTTCAATCACCAAAATATGGGACTCGAACATTCGTGTTACAGGACACAATTTTATGTGGTCCAAGGTCACAGAACTAACAGCACATCAACACTCCCATCCATTCTGCTCTTTATTCCTCCAAGTACACTAAGGAGATAGCCTCGGATTTGCATCAGAATAATCTGAATACCTCTCTGATGCCTCCTCCTCTTCCTTTTTAACAAAAGGAGAGAAGCTTCAGGACAACAGCCATCCACGGTAAACAGGATCTAAAAATTTAATAACGCTGGCTTTGCTTTCATCTGTGTACTTTTATGCTTACCTGATATTTGTAGCAAAGGGCACTGCTTCCCAACATATGGTAGTGCTACAAGATTTCTTTTTAAAACAGATCTATTTTGAAAAAGTAATCAATTCTTTTAAAAAATGTATAGACACAGATGGCAGAAATCATTCAGGTAGATTGAGGGTTGAGAGACAGACAGTTAACCAAGGAAACTCTTGTTTCTTTGCTGATTTAACCTGTTTTGTTTCTGTTCTTGGGGGACTGCCCTGTACCTTCCATTCTTCCAGACACAGAATTCCAGTGCGACTAGTTACAGTACCAGCTTCCTTTTGTAGGGTGCTTGGGAAGTCATGTGACACACATTATCAATTTAATGCTCTAAACAACTTCCTCAGGTTAACCCACAATGTTGTTACCACCCCCGTACAGGTGAGGAAACTGACACTCTGGGAGATTAAGTGGCTTGACCAAGGCCACACGTCTAGAAAATAGCTGATCTGAACCTTGGTCTTGGTATCTGATCTTCTGACTCCTGTGGCAAGATTCTTGATCCCACGTTTCTCTGCCCAAGCTTATCCTAGTTTTGTTTCTTCTTCATTTCAAGAAAATTAAAACAAGATGTGGAGATGATTAAAAGTGACCTACAAAAAAACCCTATAGTAGAACCAAATAGGTTCTTCCATATTAATACTCATGTGCCTGCTTTTTTTCAACTAACACACCCTCATTGTAAAAAACAGACATGTACGCACGATCCCCACATGTGGGGCACCCACAGTCGATGCCATCTCGGGCCCTTTGGCACTCACTCTCCTGCTACGACAGGAATGTTCTGGTGGACTCGGGAGACAGGTGCAGAACAGCACTGCAGGAACTTTACTTTTCTCTGAAGAGACTCAGGTGAAGAGAAAGGCCACAGAAAGAGATATCTACACCATCAGCTTTAGGAAAAGGTGAGCACATCCCTGGATTAGAAATTCTCCCCTCTCATGGATGGGAGATTATCAGCCTTCCTACCTCTTGGATCTCACCTCCTACTTCTCTCCCTTTTGCTCCTTCCACCCCAGCCATGCTGGCCTTCTTTCTGTACCTTGATTGTGCCAAACTTATTCCCACCTCAGGGCCTTTGCACATGCTGTTCCCTCTGCTGTACACAGTTTGCACTAGATCTTTGCAGGGCTACCTCCTTCCCATCATTTAAGTCTCAGACCAAGTGATTGCCTCACAAAAGCCTTCTCTGCTTTACCCTACTGTCATTCCTCCTTTTCTCCATCATCCCCTTCCAAAATTACCCCATGTTGTTTTCTTTATAAGAGATATGGCTGCCTGAAATTATCTCATTTCTTCACGTGCCTAGTGTCTCTCTCCAAAACTTGACGGCAGCCTACACGAGAGCAGGGACCCAGTCTCTCGAGTTTGCTACTATTACTGCCAGTGCCGGGCACGCAGGAGGTATTAAAAAAAACTTGGAGAATGAAAACACACTCACCCACATGTAAACTCCCTCCCCCAAATATGATCACTGTTCCTTCAAACAAGCAAAAGGAAAGCAAAGAAACTCTACCTGGTTCGTGAAGAATCCATGTCCAGCACCAACTTGGCTAAGTGTTTCCTCTGCTTTTGAATGTTTGGGATTTCCACCTGTGGTTATAGGAGATGAGAGACACAAACTGAAGCTCAAGATAAATTCTTTCAGAACTATTCTTTAGAACAGTCCTTTAAGAACCACTGGCCGGCATGGGACAGATTCACTAGAGGTCTCCCAACCCTTATTTTCAGAAAAAATACTTTCTTTCCCCTCTTCTTCACGGATGTATAATGGACAAACAGGAATCGCATATATTGTAGGTGTACAGCTTGGTGTTTTGATATGTATGCATTGTGAAATGATTACTACAATCAAGCTAATTAACACATCCCTCACCTCCCATAGTTTCTATTTTCTTTTTTTGGTAGTGAGAACACTTAAAGTCTACCTTCTCAGCAAATTTCAAGTATACAAGACAGCATTGTTAGCTATTGTCACACCATACTGTACATTGGATCTCCAGAATTTACTCATCTTGCATAAATGAGACCTTGTACCCTTTGACCAACGTCAAATGAAATTCTTGATGCCTTTTCCTGAGCTAAACTCTGCTCCCTCTTTGCTGGACACAGGCCAGGCCCCCGTCACCCCAGAGCATTTCCGAGGTCCTGTGTTCCCCTGCTCACGCGGGGCTGGCCACTTGCCTGCCCTTACCTTAGCCAGCAAAAGTGGGGCTCTATCTCATCTCTCTCTACTTCCAGGAGGGCCCAAAGTGGGTAGAAGTGAAGGGAGCCACTCAGGTCTGACACACAGACCTAGCTCAAAACGGACGGCTGAAGGAGGAAGAGCACTGAGATGCTATGAGGACTGTGACTAGGACACAGATTTTATATTTATAAAAACAAAGGCAGCCAATGTTTATATTTATAAAAATAAAGTAAGATTTTTCCAAAGTCAATAATGAATAAACATTGCCATCCTGGCTTTTCCCGGCTACACGTTCTTCCATTTTGGTTGTCTGTGGATGCTCTTTTTATATTTTTCATTCTAAAAATGACTTCACTGAACATTCCAGTGCAAGATTTTGGTTTCGGGCCCAGCAAAAGTAGGGC